TCAGCCGGGCGTTGGTGGTGCATGCCTTTAATCCCAGCACTCAGGAGGCAGAGGCGGTGGATCTTTATGAATTCGAAGCCAGCCTGGTCTACAGAGCAAATTCCAGGACAGGCTCCAAAGCAATACAGAGAAACTCTGTCTCAAAAAACAAAACAAAACAAAACAAAACAAAAAACAAAACCAAAAACCTTATGACTTTCAACTATAAAGACGTGGGCTCTGTGTAGCTACTTTAACTGAGTTCTTACCCAACATGCACAAAGCCCTGGTTCAGACCCCAGCACAGAATAAACTAGGCATAATAGCACACAATAGCTGTAATCCCAGCACTCAAAAGGTAAAGGCAGGAAGGATCAGAAAGCTCAAGGCCATTCTTGGCTACACAGCAAGTTTAAGGTCAGCTTGGAACACAGGAGAACCCCACCCCTCCCCATGTCAAATCCTACTGTTCATTAAAACTACCCGAGACAGAGAAAAGTTGCATTCTGTATAATTCCAACCAGATGACTTTCTAGTAAATAGCCCCTGGTCGTGGAAAGGAGCAGAAAGGACACTAGACCTTTAGGACAGTGAAGACCCAAGCTTTGACTTGTTCTCATATCAGCTGGAAAAATGAATGTCTGTGACCACCAGGTACAGTCCTGAGTACATATGTGGGGGGAGGGGTGGCAAAGGGTGTTAGAGAGGGACAGCCATTTAAGCCTGGAACTAAGAATCACTGACACCTCAAAGGCCTAGTCCAACCAGGCCACTACTTGTTGTACTGATCATGTCTGGCACCACCTACCACCTGGCTCCCTAGTGGGCATACTGTCTATTTGCACTCAAGAAGGCAAAAGCTGTTTAGAGTGTGCTCATCTGTATATAGTGAAGGTAACCCTGTAACCTGAGGTATGTATCCCCTGGGAAAGCTGGAACCCCATCAGTAGCTTCCAGCCCACATCCCCAGCTAAGCCATCATATAGGCTGAGTGAATGTGGAAACAGAGGCCAGGAAAAGGTCTACAGGTTTCAAAGCCTGCAGACATTCCCATCCTCTGGTAGGCACCAGGGCTCCCTGAGACACACTTAACTGCCTCCCAAACCTTTAGCCAGACCCAGTGGCTGGGGCTCAGTTCCCCTATGTGGTATAGGTTAGAAACTATATAGTAGTTTCTAACTCTGGGTTTCCCAGACGTCTTTGCATGTGTAGTTCTTCTGGGAGGTTTGTGAAAAGGCCTGAGTGGGGGCTAACGAGCAAGAGATGCAGGCTCTAACATGGCACTTTTCTAAACCACATTCCTCTGGGCCTCGTTTGTCCCACCAGTGTGCATTCGAAAAGGATTACTCTTGGGGAAATCACGTCAACCACCTGTCATTCTTTTCGAAGTTCTCAGGACCCAATAGACCTTGCTCGAGAGTACAATGTAATGGACTTTGGCAGGCAGGGGCAGGGGTATGAGAAGAATGATACTTTGGAGAGACAGGAGAGATGGACCAAGTGGGAAGGGGAGAGAGCCTGAGTCAGCAGGCACCCAGAGAGCAGCAGCAGGCCTTGGATACCAGACTGGGGATCCTTACAAGGCAGTAGTAAGGATAAGTTCTAGAGACTAGTTAGGTGAGAGGTAAGGGCTGAAAGAATAGGGAGGAAATGGGAACAAAACCCACTTACTGGAGTGTATTTGACCAACTTTTGTCTGGCCACCATCATCCCTCTGGAGAAGGCCTTGTACTTACTGTGCCTCACAGGAGCATAAAGTGACCAGGAAGCAGCTAGAAACATTAAGGGTCTCCATTTCTCAGTTGGAAAAACTGGTCACCAACTTGGGAGCAGCCTCTAGCTTGTTCATCTTCTTGGCCTTCAGCACTCCTTAGTCTCTGGCTTCATCTAGCTGAAAGTTCACAGCTGGGCAAACAGCAGCCATATAGGGCCTGCTGGGCAGTAACCTCCAGGTTTCCCCATAAGGGGCTCATTCGCTGAATATTTATTATAAACCAGGCTTTTGAAACAAGGACTCAAATTGACCATCACAAGAAATCCATAAAAGTGCTAATACTATTTTCACTATACCAATAAACAAACTAAAGCTCCTTCAATGACCCGCCAAAGGTGTTATGGTTATTGGGTAGTGTGGTGGTTTGAAAGAAAATGCCACCCAAAGGGAGTGGCACTACTAGGAGGTGTGGCCTTGTTGAAGCAGGTGTGACCTTGTTGGAGGCAATCTTTGAGGTCTCTTTTGTTCAAGTTTCGCTCAGTGTGACATTCGGTCTACTCCTGTTACCTGACTACCAACATGTAACAAGCTCCTTCTCCAGCCCCATGCCTGCCCAGACGCTGCCATGCTCCCTGCCATGATGACAATGAACTAAACCTCTGGACTGCCACCTCAATTAAACTTCTTTTATGGATTACCATGGTCATGGTGCCTCTTCACAGCATAGAAATCCTAACTAAGACAGGTAGGTCAACAAATTGTGTTCAAGCTCAGGGCTGAGTGACCTTAAGAATGACACTTGATATCACTACCCTGGAGGACCCTATGACTAGTATTGGTGTTGAGACTAAGAAGGCATGGGGAAGACACTGGACAAACCAGCTCCCCAGCCTAGCCTTCCTGAACCCCTATGAGACAGGAAGTATATCCCATGGACACTGGTTCTCGTATAGTAGTATTGTAGAACTTTACTATAAACAGTAGCATGAGAAATAGAGAAATCAGGAACATATTTCATTCCTTTTAATGTCTCAACTCAATTTATCATCACTTAAGACTTTTTATCCTCAGACCTTCATAACCTGCATTTATCCATTGTGTTAGACCTTTCCATCCTCAGACCTTTGTACCTTACGTAGGGTCGTAGGGTCTGCTCCTTTTTTTTTTTTTTTTTGGCCTGGCACTTGCTCTGTAGACCAGGCTGGCCTCAAACTCACAGAGATCTGCCTGCCTCTGCCTCCCAAGTGCTGGGATTAAAGGTGTGTGCCACCAATGCCCGGCTCACCCCACAGTTTATCAAGCACCCAAATCTTCCCAGCTAGGGGCCCTGGGACTTAAGCTGCATAGAGGACAGGAGTTGCTTAGCCTCATGAGCCCACCTTTCTTCTACCTCCTTCTTCCTTCCACCTCTCCTGGCCCCACCACTTACTACACTGCCATGCTGCTCAGGGGCCTACAGTGCCTCAGAGCCTTCCAGAAGATCAAGCCAAATCAGATGAGACAAGAAAAACACACATGTCGGGACACAGAAGAGATACAAAGCCTTTTTTTTTTTAACTCAACAAAGGGCTTTTTATTGTTTTTAATTCACTTCCTAAGAAGTTGATTTTTAAAACACTCTTATGGAGTTTGTTCACTTGTGCTACATTCAAAACCAATGCCAACCAAAGATCTCAGCAACAGGTGAGATCTGTCTGCCTTCCTGGCTCTGCTGGGGGGCAGTGAGGCCAACCACCCATTTCAAGCTTTCTCCAAGTGGGCCCCATTCACAAAGCTCCCTGACTCCTTGCCATTTAATACCTGCCTCTCATTCACTCTATAAAAGTATTCTTAGTGATATGTTTAGACGATCTGTTTTTAAGCCCTGGGTTACACTGGCTGCCTTAGTACATAGGAGCTGGGTTGAAATGGGAGCCTGTTGACAATGGGCTGCCCTCTGCTCCTAGGCTTAAGTCGATGTAGAAACTATATTACAGATGCATGTGCCAGTACGAGACATGCAAGTGTGCTGTGTACAGCAGACGGGCACGCGCACACGTGTGCACATGAAGGCGCAATGCACACCCATTGGCACAGAGATGCAATGGAATTCAGTGCTCTCACCCAGCCTGCCTCTTTTCTAGTCTAGACCTCCTGCATTCTGAAACCCATGTGGGCAGCTGGGATCTCCTTGTGGGATGCTTTTGGGGTGGGCGGTACCTGAGTCCTGCTCATCTCCCTTTGGAGACCAACCTCTATGAGCATTGTCAGTAAACATCAGAATAGCCAGACAACCACAGAATCCAGAGATCTGACACTCGCTCCTGAAGGGCTTCGTCCGTATGTATGCCAGCTGTGCAGTTTTGCCCTGCATGGGCTAACTGATGACCTGTGCTGAAGCAACTCACAGAAGGGCCACCTGCCTGACAGGGTGTGCATCCTGTAGGGTCCCTCATCTGGCTGGCCTCCCTTCTCACAGTTTCTTCTTCATCATTGGGTTGTGATGGGTAAGCCAGTGTAGGATCAGAGACTGAAACCCAGTTACTTCCACATGTGCAGGGCCGCAGTTCTGAGAGTCCATGGCCCTCAGCGTCCCTCCTGGTTTCTCTTCTGCAACCTTGGCTCTGGAGATCCATAAGGGAAGAGGAGAGGTAGGCAGGGAAGGCGCGCTGCTCCAGGCTCCGGCCTATGCTCTGAGGTGGATTCAGTTCAGCCCTTTTTCCGGCTAGTGCCGAGTATAAAACACAATTCATGAATGTCAGGTCCACGTGACTGCCAAACGATGTGCCAGGAACTACCCAAAGCTGGAGGAAGATGTTCCCCACAACAGCGGCTCCCACCCCAGCCTTCAGGTAAAAGACAACAAAAAAGGAATCTGAATTCTCCAAACCACTCCTCTCCCGGGCACATGTCACTACTTGTAGAATCCATGCTAGAGATCTGAGCACAGTCGCACTCAGCACCTTCCACACAGAGGTGAGGTAATCGTCCTTTCTTGTGGGGAGGCAGCTGGGCAGGCCCACCTAGCCCTATGGGAGTTCTCTGAGATGCAGCCCACCAGGCCTCCATCTGCCATTTGGGTCTCTTGCCTTCTGCCCTGGGCCTCACCAGCCAGTCAGGCAGGGTTTCTAATATTCTGTGGGCCACAGGCTTCCCCACAAGATGGATCAGAGCAGAGGGAACCAGGAACCTCACATTCCAATCCTGTCCATGGATGTGCCTGTGCGCAGGTCATGCAGCACAATGGGGAGGGGGGCCGGGAGAGGGGCGGCAGTCCCCAGCCCCCTGCCTGCAGGGGCGACTATTGCATGAGGGCGGTGGGCCTCTGGAGGGCCCCGAGCACACGCAGAGACTCAGGATGCGGCCTCGTCTTCCTGGACTCCGGGAAGCTCTGGGCTTTTGCCACCTTCTACGCATCCTTCTTTTCTGTTAGGAAACGGCAGGGGCAGCGGGGTCTCAGGAGTAAGAAGTGCACACCAGGATCCTCACACCCACCCACGCATGGATGGCTATCCAGCAGCCTTCCACAGCCCCACCCCACTCTGGCACCCTAGGATCTCTTCCATCATAGCAGTCTTCCTCGCTAGTTCCCCTGGCCCCAGCCTCGACCCACAACCCTGTGTGGCTCCCCATTGCTCTGGGATGAAATCTAAACCTCTCAGGAGCCTCTCGCTATCTGGCCCAGACGACTTCCTGCTATCCCACATTGACTATCCCAAGGTCTTCCACATTGACCTTGACTGGTCCCCACTGGGTAGAAGGCCTTTCATCTGTATTTTCTTCACCTTGTTCACAGGACAGAGTTACCATCAGTCTTGGAATTCTATTATTCAATAGATTCCTGAATCTGATGATGCAACCCCCACTCCCACCCTTGGCTTTAAAAATATCCAAACGATCAATCTCATGGAACTGGACTAAAAATACCACGAAACGTAAAAAAAAATTGGGTCTACCGAGGACCCCAAGGTCCTTGATGAGTTTAAAACATATTTTACCCTTGTTTTTTGCTGTGCAGTTCCAGGGAGCAAACTGGAAGTTAGACCTGTCCTTAATCGGTGACTGCTTCATTCTACCACCAGGGGGCGCCGAGATACAAGTACTGAGTGGGAGTGGCCTGATGTTCGGTTTACTGCACAATCGTGATTTAGGTTGTTGTTCCTACATAATCATTAACAGACTCCCTTTTATGCTCAGATCTGTCCCAGTTTGTCAAATTCTGTATGATCCATCAGGCACAACTCCAGCATCAGTCCTCCACCCCTACCCCATATCAACTACCTCAAGAAGAGTTGGGAAATTTGTAGAGAGGTCCACCTCTCACTGTGAGGCCACTCCTTGTAAGGGCAGGCCCAAAAGCACTTGTACAATGTCCATGCTTACCTCCCTGGGAAAGTGCCCTTACCACAGGGCAAGCCAAAAGTACAGCCTTCTTCCTGGAGCTCCCTTCACAGCCCAGAGAGGTGCCCAACTGCCCTAGGATTATGATGTGCTGGTACACAACGCCTCACAGTTCTCTCTGAAAGTCTGTACACAAACTCTAAATTCACTGGCAAGTGAATTTTACTACAGCAGAGAATCTGGGAGCCAGACTCAATGTTCAGAGTACTGCTTTCCTGGCTTCTCCCGCAAAGTGGTGAACCCATACATATGGTTCAAAGTAGGGATCCCTTAGCAAGCAGGGGTCAGCTAGACTGTCCACATGGACTTGCTGGAAAAACACTCAATATGTGCTGGCTGTGGATAACACAAGCCACTGGGGCAGGGAAAGTGGTCAGAGAGTGCCATTTCTCCATGGACGCCAGCCTTCTGTAAGGAGGAGACTTGATCTCTCTGCAGACTTTTGATTACCAAAGGCTGAGGGAAGCACAGATTGGGAGCCGGAGTGCTGTGCTGGATCTAGTGAGAGCTTGACCACAGCAGGCTTCCAAAAGATCTTCCCTTCAATGTGTGTGTGAAGGACACTGGGCCTGGACAGGGGTGCAAATGGGCCCTGCTCTGAAACTGGGTTATATCCCTAGGCTTTCGGGACAGCCCTACACTAGTACAAGTCGGGGATGTGCCTCAATGCCACACCTCAATTCACAGAGTGGCCCACAGGCCTCAAATTCCTTTGCTTACATCAGTAAACTTCCAGGAGCAGACATGGATCTTTCTTCCCTGCGTGCTTGGGGCTCGAATGGGTTCCCAAAGGAACGCTTTCTCAGCATGGACTTGACCAGGATCTGGGGAGCACAAGTCAGTATGGAGAACAAGCCTGAACACCCAGACCCAGCCTAGGCAAGCAGGTGGCTTCTGGGAGTAGGGTGTGGTCTAACTGACAGTGGAGGCCTTGAACCAGGTGTCCAGGTCTTTCACTGTCATGCCTAGGCACCAGTGTGGTACCTAGGGAAGAGCAACAGTTCACTGAATGCGTGAATGCAAGGAACTGCTTCTTCCTGCCATGGCCCTCTCCAAACCTCAGGTCTCTGCCACAATCGAATAAGGTGACCTTCCTCCATTATACTCTAATCCAGCAGGGCTTCCATGACCCCTGGACTGTGGCTGACTGATCTGATGCCCCACTGTTCCCTCAAAGGCCAAGAGCAGAGCCAGTCCCAGGCAGTAGCCACACACTTCTAAGACAAGAGTCCCACCTTGTCACTCTCTTACCACAGTGGTCCAGCTGGGGATGAGCTTGACTGAGTTCTTCACCTCCTCCTCAGTCACCTCCACCACACTGCAGTGCTCCTCCTCTGAAGGGAGGGGTTCCTCTCCATGCTTAGTCACCCAAGGGTGTAACTGTAGAGCCCAGGAGATGGGGAGGTGTCAGGGCCATAGGCATACAGACATAACCAGCAAAGGTGCCCAGGCAACCCTAGCATTGATCTTGAAGGACTCCTCAGTCCTCAAACCCCAAACCCAACATACATGTTTCAGTGTAGGTCCCTCCAGAAGGGGCATTGAGACTTTGGCCCAGACCCACCTTGATATCAGACACCCCGATTCTTGTTTCAGGGTTCTTGTCTAGCATCTTCAGGATCAGGTCCTTGAGCTCTTCACTGACCTCTGGCCTAGGAAGAGGGAAGGCAAGAGATGCGGATGCCACCATTGATGAGGGTTCCTTTCTCCCCTCCTTGGGACCAGGAATAACCCTAATCACATTCCTCAAATGGAAAGACAAGAGGCTCCATCTGCTCTGGCCCCTCCCAGGGATCAATACCCCTACACTAACTCTGAAGGCTAAAATGGAACCCTAACAGGGCCAGCGCTCTGCCAAAGTTCAGATACCCTCCCCAGGAGTGGGCAGGAGCTTCCATGGTCCCCTGCATGGCTAACTCACTCCTCAGGGAACACCACGGCCTCATTCTTGATCTTCCTGTGAAGGGCCAGGATGTACTCATCAATGAATGGGCACTGTAGGAAGGAGAGACAGACAGGATGTAGGCCTTGATCCATACCTCAGGTGGTCAGGGGCTAGAGGCAGCTTATGCCTCACCCCCACCCCAGCAGATGGGAAGGGCCCCATCTAACTTGTTCAGGGCACACAGCAAGGGCTCAGCAAATGTAACTGAGCGGATGAGTCACTAGAGAATGAGGCTGGCTGCATCTGCCACCAGCACTAAAGCTGCCTGCAGCAAAGCCTTCACTCTCCCAGGGTCTGGTGTGTGGGGACCTATTCACTTTGATCTCCACCTCCCACCCTCTCACTCCCGCCTGGTGTGGTCACCAGAACCAAAGCACCTGAAGGCAAGAATCTTGGTCACATCAGTGTTAAAGGGCCCCAAGACCCAACAATTTGAACAAATGATTGAGTGAATGAAGGAGTGAATGGCATCAAGAGAGAAAAGGAGAGGGCTCACTGACTGGAGAGAGGAAGCAACACCTCTGTCACCTCCTCTTTGATGTGTGCTGTCCCAGGACTCCACATCAACCCCCACCCCAAGGGGAGAAAGAAAAACAAAAGGTCTCTCCTCCCTCAGCCTTCCTGGCCCAGGTGGGCTTTTTCAAAAGCCATTTTGTCTAGGGACACAAAAGAAGGTCCTGCATCTGTCCTTGGATCCTCCTGGCTCCTTGGATCCAGTCAGAGTCAGTTCTATAGGCTCCTCAGGACTCACCTTCCCATAGACAAAGCAATACAAGGTGACCCCGGTGGCCCATACATCCAAGGCCTAGAAAGAAACAAGCTCATGTCAGTGAACATGGCACCTCCACCACCTCACCCCCTCCCCACCCAGCTTTATGAGGAGCCCTGCTGGGACCCTCCTTCCCCAGGCAGGCATTTATCAACAAACACTCCCAGGCTTGCTCTATGCTGGGCCCTGTGCTGAGCCCTGGGGGTGAATGGCATCAAGAGAGAAATATCTTGTGAGATATCACTGAAGGGACCAGCTTCCCTTTTGGCAGCCATAATAGCCGAACACGTGCTTCTATGACCTTGTCCTAGACACTAGAAAGTCAGATGCCTGCCTC